AGCAATGTCTATATTTGTATTCAAGATGAAATCAGAATAAAGTTCCTCAAAAGGCGAAACGTGTCGGGTAAGAAGTGTTTTTCCTCTTCTCTGTCTTCCTTCATTTATTTATATATATATATATATATATATATATATATATATATATATATATATATATATATATATATATATAAAAGTGAATTTAAAGTCAACACTTAGAGGCGACAGTCTGTTTCATGAAACAGACTGTCGCCTCTAGGTGTTGACTTCTATGTTCACTTTTATATTTACACACGCTCTTCCTCTGATATTGAGCACTTTATCCCATAAATATAGCACATCTTAAGACTATATTTCTTCATATATATATATATATATATATATATATATATATAATATATATATATATATATATATATATATATATATATATATATATATATATATATATATATATATATATATATATATATATATATATATATATATATATATATAAATATATATGTAAGAAAATAACGGCGTACATATTCATCTTTTACCGTTTAATACTCAGATCTGTAAATTCAGTTCCTTTCAAATTTTTTACTTTTATTAGTTATTATATATATATATATATATATATATATATATATATATATATATATATATATATATATATATATATATATATCATAACATTCTATCTTTCTACATACACGTATATATGTATGTATGTATGTATGAGAGCACATACACGGCAATCGTTTAGGCGTCTCCTTTGAATCGTAACCCCCTGAGATGAAACGATATTCCGAGAGTTTTCTCGCCTCTCCACGTGAACGCTACACTCATTGGTTTCCCATCAACCAATAAACAGCTGCGCATTCAACTCCATTTCTTAAACTTAATGTCTGCCTCTGCTTCCCTTCATCCCGTATTTCTATTAACGATCCTTATTTCCGGCCTTACCTCTTGAATGTACTTAAATAACCACTTATATTATCAGATATGACATTGAACAATTACGAACAAAAGGTGATGATGAATAGTAAACGTTTTGGGAAAGAACTAAAGTTAGACACTACGTAGTTTGAAGAACTACAATAAAAACCTAAATTAGGCAGCTTTTACATGCTGTGTATTTCCAGATGGCGTAATATCGTGTATAAATCATATTTAAAAGAAAAATAATATACCATTCATTTCTTACTGTTTTCATCATTATTTTCAGGAAACGAAATATGATGAAGTTTTTTTATTCAAAAGTTATTTTTTCTTATTTAAAATTAATCTGATCAGTCATTTTGCCACCGTCGTAACGTCTTCCCACTCTACACTTTTACATAACTATTTTTTATTGTAACTCTGCTGATGAATATTCTCCCAAGACAAAGTTTAATACTTTCTTAAAGACAAAATGTACATACATGTACTAGTTAGGATTACACTTGGATTCTGGTATATTATAGTGGCTGTTGTAAGAATGGTCAGCAAGAAAGTGTTATTATGGTGTCAGGAATACTATTGCCTGTTTGTGTCAGTAAATGTGGCTGAGTTTAAGATAAGACAGATTGAAGACAAGACGTCCCCTACCTCAGCTTTTGGCTTTGTGATAAAGTTTTGTGTTACAAAAATAAATTTTACTTTCGTCTATGAAACCTAGATTTTATGAATATAAACTTAGTACGAGATCGACGACAAGGTCACACCAATTTTCCGCTGAAACCAACTAGATATAAAAGTAAGTTTTATGCTAATAAACTATTCTCTTAGTATTCTCGTTTGTGGAAATCTCATCCGCTTTCTTGCTTTCCAATAAAATTTGGTCTCCAAAAATATTTTAATGCAATGTCACTTGTTACCCATTGTCTTCGTTATTACTACTTTTTATTATTGTGCCTTAATAATTCCTTTTCTTTTCTCATATTCCTTGACATGGGCATAGACAAATCGCATAACTGTTAGATAATGGTTCATGAAAATCGAAAGTCCACATACATCAGACGATTTATATTTGAATATATACCAGAAAACGGGATAATTGACCGAAATAAGAAACAAATTTAAAAAATAATACTTACATATGAATAAATAAATAAATAATACTGTACTTGTCTTCAGCCCAACATGTTGTCTATTTAAACCCAATTACTCTCTCGCTCTCTCTCTCTCTCTCAATATATATATATATATATATATATATATATATATATATATATATATATAGAGATAGAGAGAGAGAGAGAGACAGACAGAGAGAGAGACAGAGAGACAGAGAGAGAAAACAATGGATAGATAGATAGATACTGTGCTTGATTAGACAACAATTTTTCACTTACACAGGCTAGGATGAAGAATGAATATACATTGTTAAGAATTTTTAATTACACACACACACACATATATATATATATATATATATTATAAATATATATATATTTATATATATATATATATATATATATATATATAGTTGGATTGATGTGAGTTTCTGACCCTGAATATCACGTTATTTGCAATCGACAGATATATAATATATAAATAAAATATATTAAAAATGCATATATATATATATATATATATATATATATATATATGTAAACTTATATACATGCACATTTTACTTTTTTCTCTTTCATTTCTCAGACTCACTAAATCCTTCAATCTTACTCTCTTTAATGCCTTCCTTGGATGAAATGCGATATATATATATATATATATATATATATATATATATATATATATATATATATATATATATATTCGTGAAATACATGTTTGATGCTTTGACACACATCAACAGTGAATGTTTTTATCCGATGTTTATTAGGGATTTTCAGGCTTTCACCATCACACCCTCTCTTCACGGTGAGTCGCAATCAGGTGTCGACTTGTGTGCCATCCCTCAGCGTTATATATATATATATATATATATATATATATATATATATATATATATATATATATAATTTTAAACCAGTTGTGACGTCCCTAAACACAGCCTTCGCTCGCTCCTCGCTTCCTGGCTTGGTATCGGTCGCGGCACCCAAATGTGACGTTCTAACCTTTTCGGATGGGAATCTGGTTAGATTCGATATCAGCCTCATCGTTCCCAACTCGCTTCAACGCCTGGTTACCAAAGTAACTGCGTTGATCTCCAGTCTACCTACCCACGTTGTGAATTGATCTTAGACAGACGAAATCAATCAGACGTTGGGGCCGTAATTCAAATTGAGTTCACACGAGGGTGGTATCACACAAATATGCATAAAAGAAAATAAAATGATAACTCAAAAGTTCAAGGTATCAAAAAAAGGATAACAATACTTTATATCTGGTTGCTGGATACATAGGACTGCGTCTATCTCCTGGCCCGCTATATGGATTGTGACACGTTGTTTTTGTTAGGTGAGTTTTAACATCTTAAGTTGTCTGTTCTTTAAGAAATTGGTCTTCAGGCGATAGCCGAAAAACTTATTTTGGTGATGGATCTAAGTCGCTCTTCAAAATAATTGTTCTTGGATTGAAGATGAGTTCGGAAGTTGCGTGAATCTTAGTCAGCTGCGAGGCCTGCTTCAACTGAACACTCTGGATTGAACTCCTCTGAACTGAACTGAACTCAACTGAACTCTGCACTCTTCTGATTTTTGCCCGCTGCGACTTTGCTTATATGGACGCCGACCAAAACCGGGGTGGGTTTGTCGGGGTTGGAGGTTCCTCGATAATTCTAAATCCATTTCCACTTCTTTTATTTTTGGTTAGGAATTTTCCACTCCTTTCCATTTTTGGAAGTCTTCTATTACTCCCACCTTCTCTTTATTCTCATATGGATATCTCACCATATTTCAGAGGGGCGTCAACGGTTCTCCCCACTTCTTCGTAGCAACTTCTCATACCTATCCTCTAAATGGGCGGCGGCGGGTGTGTGATCCGGCTAGCCGGGTGTGTGTGATCCGGCTGGCTTTGTTTTAGGAAGAAAAAAGAATATATCTTGCTCAAAAAAAAAATCTTTTTCTTTTCCTTTTCTTTCCTTAATCGCAGCTCTCATCCCCCAATGTCACCTGGGATCTATCAATGCCAATTATCAAGTGAGGTAGTCGTCTAGCGAAAACACATTCGACCGTCGTCTCGAAAAAACAGTTCCATTGTTCTAGTCGTATTTGCATTCTTGGTGCCAATTTCTGATAACATAGTTTTGTTATCACAACCGAATTCTAACACCCATAGATGTCTTGTCAAAACGTCCAAGACGTGACCCAGGGTTGGCTTCGTGTGCGGTTAGCAGACGACCTATTAAATCCTTACCCGACAATATTGTTTGCCCCCTTTGACACAGTTAATTTTTTTATCTATCCAAAGCTCTATATCCACCTGTTCTTTGTCAGACAGTTCTACGACACTGGACTAGAATTTTCATTATCTTTTCCATTATCAAAATAACATTGTCAATTGTCTCGGAGTTTTTAGCTAGCCGGTCTGTGGTTTGTTAATTAGATGTTCGCCAGCATTAAGTGGCTATTATCTATCCCCGATAACACAAGTTCGCCACCAGCACATAGTCGATTTTCTTATCCATTTAGAATTTTTCTGCAATGGTAATGAAACCTTTCGCCATTTGCTACTTATCAAAATAACATTGTCAATGTCCCCGGTCGTGGGTGGCTTCTTTTATCATCTAAGCTTAAGTCTCGCCTCACTTTTTCTTTCTTTCCTTTCTCTTTTTCCTTTCTTTTCTTTTTGTCCTGGTAAATGGTGCCACACAGTTAATTTAGATTAGTTCAATTTTTTTCGTTTTGGAATATAGCGAATATTTCCTGGTTGAAATCATATTCTTCCCGTAGTCCTTTGTTTTATTTTAAACTTACATCCACCTAACTCTCAGAAAGTTGATGTGTATCTGTGCTGTAACGATTACATAAATATATACATATGATACATTATGTGTACGATATGCTATGTGGGAAATAAATATATGTGTTGACGTGTCAATGTATTATTTCTTTCTAATTTCAAAATGTCTCCGACTCTCTTTATAGCTTCACCCAAAGTTTCTTCATATATTTCTCCCTCTTATTTATATCTCTCTTCTTCGTTTCTTCTTCATACTTTATATCCATTGATAATTTTATTCTAATTTGCGCTATTTACATTATTCTTCCTTTATTCTTCTTCTTCTTCTTCTTATTATTATTATTATTTGTGTATATTATGTTTCCTGATTTCTATCCTGTAGAGCCTGGACCACATTATGGTCCTTATTTCGTACAAGAGATTTTTCATTTAATTGATAGCACTTTTCTTAGTACATTGATGTCCCTAGTACGACAATCTTCTGGGCAATGTTTATGTTCATGTTAACTAGTACACTGTTAATAAAATAGGCCATTCCTTTTCTCACGAGGCCAAGTGCTCCGATTGCTGTTGGTACAGTCTCAGTCTTCAATCCCCACATTGTCAATCTTGATTTCCAGGTTTTTCTATTATCGCTAATCTATGTGGAGGTGTATCTCTCAGATGGTACTCTTATGTCAATAAACACAAACTCCCTAAATTTCTTTTCTTTTATGATAATATCACATCTCTTGGCTTTTATTTTCCTGCCAGTTTGAATTGTCATGTCCCAGAGGATAGTTACGCCGTTATTATGGGTAACTGTGTCTGACTGGTGTTCTTACCATCTCTCAGTGGTTTCGATTTTCTGCTTCTTGCATATCTGCCACTGCACATATGGCGCTACTTTGTCATGTCTATGGTCATATTCATTTTTTTGTCAGTTCTAGAATATATATATATATATATATATATATGATATATTATTATTATTAGTAGTAGTAGTAGTAGTAGTAGTAATAGTAGTAGTGGTAGTAATTGCAGTAGTAGTAGCATTGAGTTTTGTTTATTCTATCTTTTCCAAAATTCCCTCTTAGTATCATGCAATCTTTGCTCGTTTTATAACTCGATATTTCACCCATTTTAAAATTGTTTTTTTCTCTCTTATTTTCTTTCAGACAATGTGTTTTTTATCTTAATTTTCTCGCTTTTGTTATTATTATTAGTAGTAGTAGTATTAGTAGTAGTACCAGTAGTATTGCATTTTGTCTTTTTTATCTTAATTTTCCCGCGTTTGTTATTATTATTAGTAGTAGTAGTAGTATTGCATGTTGTCTTTTTTATCTTAATTTTCCCGCTTTTGATATTATTATTATTAGTAGTAGTAATAGTAGTAGTAGTAGTAGTAGTAGTAGTAGTATTGCATTTTGTCTTTTTTATCTTAATTGTGCCGCTTTTGTTATTATTATTAGTAGTAGTAGTAGTAATAGTCGCAGTAGTAGTAATATTGCGTTTTGTCTTTTCATCTTAATTTTCCCGCTTTTGTTATTATTATTAGTAGTAGTATTAGTATTTATTGTATTTTGTCATTCTTATTTTAATTTTCACGCTTTTGTTATTATTAGTAGTAGTAGTAGAAGAAGAAGTAGTAGTAGTATTATTGCATTTTGTTTTTTTTTTATCTTAATTTTCCCGCTTTTGTTATTATCATTATTAGTAGTAGTAATAGTAGTAGTAGTAGTATTTATTGCATTTCTTAATTTTCCCTCTTTTGTCTTTACATTTGCTATTTGTTTCTTCTTCATATAATTCCCGTTCTTACTTCACTTTTCTTTTTGTTTTCTTTTTCTTTTTCCACTAACATTCATCCTTTAGCATTGCATCATTTCTTTACGCGTTTTTAAATATATCTTCTCGGCTTTCTCTTTCTTCATTCCTTCTTTTGTTTTCTTCTTCTCTTTATTCTTTTTTTCCCATTCCTGTTTCTTTTACATCTTCTTATTATCGAAGGCTCTCTTCTTTTTTTACGTCTTCTTCTCCTTGACTTGTATGGAAAAATGCTCAAAACGTTCTTTATTTGTTTACCAGTACGTAGTAATTGGCTCTTAGCGTCGACAAGGGTGACATACTAGTTGAACTAGTCTTGAAAAATGCTTCCTATTTAGAGTTAACAACACCAACGCGACACTAAAGCAGAAAACCAAATCAAACGTTTATTTTGTGTTCACCATTATATGTACCTAGCCGTCCGCGTAGGAGTTATGTTTTGGCGATCTGGGGCTCAAATGTTTTTAAATACACATGGCCACACAAATGTATATATATATATATATATATATATATATATATATATATATATATATATATTTCCATGAATGTCTTTTAAACATTGGAAAAGTGTTTTTATTTTACTTTTTTGTTTTTTCTAGACTGTTTTTAAGCGCTTTGTTGAAGAAATGAGTGTCCATGGATAAAAATAACTTCCATTGCTTTTCATATTGAGCAGCAAAATTGTTCTCCATTACACACGCATCGGATAGCGCCAATTCACGTAGGGACACACACACATACACGCATACAAACATACATGTAAACACACATGCCTACATGAATCTAATGGACATACCAAAGGTAGCATTAAAAGTCATTTAGTTCGTACATATTATTATGCGCATCCTCATTATTAAGCATTTCGTTGATATTTTACCCCCTCCCATCTTCCGTTCTACTTTTCTTGTTTCTCGCTTTTTGAGCTCACATACACACACATACACACACACCTACACACGCTCGGACACAGATACATGAACCTGTAGATTTTATGCATATATATTCTTACATAATATATATTATATATACATATATAATTGTAATTGCCGTACGCACACATACACACACACACACACACACACACACACACACACACACATATATATATATATATATATATATATATATCCGATGCGATGAGAACGAATGTAATATATAAATTCCAACGTTCACAGCAGTAATCCAAAAGAGGGCTCGATACCGATAGTAGAGCGATAATTATATATTTATTATAATTTTAGCATATAGACAAAAACCATTTTACTCACTACAATGATGCAACTTCGTTTCAGTGCATTTCACCTGAACTTCGACGGGTGAGAATCGAAAATGGTTATGAAGTATCCTGCTTTTACGCAAGCCGCAGGTGAAACGTCACTTCCGGATATTTCGCTCCTATTATTGTTGAGCCCTGTTGCTAACGATTCAAACTAAAATTATGGACAAAATCGATTTCGGCATTTCTCAATCAATATATTTCAAGGAGGCATATATTGGAGGGAATTCTAGCGTACCCTACACACACACATATATATATATATATATAACGTTACCAATATTACGACGAGTAGATACAGTAGCTATAAAACTCTGAGTCAAGAAAATAATTTTATTTTTTCCTTTAAATTTTATCTTGTAATCTTGGGCGCTTTAATTACAAACACTGTTCGTTATAAAAATTGTTTTTCTCCAGAAATGTATTGTTTTACATGGTAGTATAGCGAAAGTTAATTTATGTGCATGATCCTTCAGTTTGTGTCCCGTGCTAATGCATATGTTTTTAAAATTCTGCCTTGGTAATACCTCTATGAACGCAAAGCTCGAAATCCAAATCCCAACTGTTGATCCCGTCTCCTGCGATAGTTAACGCCAATTAAATGTGTCTTTGTTTTTCTTCACACCCTTTCAAAATTATTTTTAAAATCCACCGTTAGTTATTGGTGGGCCAACTCAAGTCCTGCATATGGCCTCACTTAACAATCTTCCAACTGCAACTGAAATTACTCTCTGCATCACATACGTTTAACTCACTAAACATTGTCCTACGACAGGTGCTTATCGCGTTTTCTGTTGTTATGAGCAAGCGATAGTATCTGTTTTGATTATGTTATCAAATGTTGAATCTGATATGAAGATGTCACAAGCATCTAAGTTGCCGACATTTTGTTTTCCGTTTAATGTCAATATTTATTCCCACCTCGTCGCAGAACTAGAAAAACATTACGTTTTCAATTTGGATTCAACTTCCTGGTTCGCTCTTTCTCCAAAATAAATGTAAATATTTGGATTGTCTTGGAACACGATAACCGAAAATCTCCGAACCGGACACCAATATTTCTATGGAATCTCTTTCTGTAGTTTTAATATCAGATATTATGTAAAAACAACATTTATTTTTTTCATTTTATGCCGCGATATTTTTTAATGTTTTTTTTTTAAAGTTTCAAATACTCAGATAAACTGGGAGACTCCCTTGCCTATCTTGATAGAGTTCAACAGCATTTACGCGAACTTGTGGGTGATAAATTATTTTCCGCTCTACCACGCCGTTCCAACAGAGGAAAAGTTGCGACGCTCTCGTTTTTCTATCCTAACCTCCGTAGCATGTGTACCACCGCGCTATATTCCTTAATCTCACGATCTTTAAAACTGAGAACCACCAAGTCACGTACACAAAGGTGAATCATCCGTATTCTCTTTTTATTCCATTAATAAGGAGGAAGATCCATTCAGACAGTTTCTTCCCAAGAACAGACTCTCGGTTGGATGTTTTCTCAATGACTAAAATCATGACCTCTTTAAGTTTAGAGTTAAACATCTTTTTTTCTACATAGCCTGGTGAGCTTCATTTCTTGCCCTTTCTTACGCTCAAACAAAACCACAAAGTTGCTAGTTAGCGTAATATTAGGTGAACATTAGTATAAAAATAATCTTGAAATCATCATGTTGTTAATGGTGAGATAACCGTTTCCATACAGGAAACATTCGACATTCATTGAATAAATATTTACTATTATTTTTGAGATGTATAAAATCGTTTTCACGAAAACTGATTTTCAGTAAATTCTATTTTACAAGATTGCTGTCCAGTGAATTTCTAGTAGTGATTGGAATTGCCTTCTAAACATTTTGTTTAAGATAATGTGAATAGTTAATTGTTGATTACTATTAATATTATGTACGGTAGAGCAATGGATACCGCCTCGTTTTGAGGAATTGGAGAGTCGAGTTCGAATCCATTACATTCATTTGCGTGTTAATACCCTTGCGATAGATATGAATCCTCTTCTTCTCCTCCCAGCTATGGGTAAATAGCAGGAGAGACCGGGTTCTATAGCCTTGTATGGTAAGTGTTCTAACGCAGAAAGAAACATCAACCTATGCGGGAAAAAAACTGCCTCGTCAGTCTTGTATCGAAAAATCGCCTAAGCTTGTATCACATATGGCATATAACTGACTGTCTTCTTTCTCTTCCCTTTACATGTGCTATCCATTTTCTTTTGGAGAAAACCGGATGGAAGTCTTCAAATGATACGGTCTTTAATATTTGCTACGGCGTTTTGTGATTCTGTAGCAACTGCCTAGTTTATAGTGGTTTCCCAAGCGTAGCTTAGATGTGGCACAAGGCCAAAAGTATGGGTCACCCAATGATGATCGAACTCACTTCTCAGTCGTAATTGTTCTAGAGAGACAAGCTTGCTAACCATTACAACGCCTAGAGGTGCCCATAAGTGATTTTCTAAGAGAAGCTTAGATGTGGTACAAGGCCGAAAGTATGGGCCACCTAATGAGGATCGAACTCACTATTCAGTCGTAATTGTTCTAGAGAGAAAAGATTGCTAACCATTACACCGTCTGGGGATGCCCAACTGCCTAGTCTATGTGGCCTGTGAACGACCGCTTTCTTTAGGCTCTCATGAATTTTAATATTTATTCTTTTCAAACCATTTTTGATGATTGATCGCAAAAATCGTTTTATCCAGATAAAAGTTTAAATATTTCAGATTGATTTGACTCTGTGCATACCATCGGCATATGAGACTAGATCTGATGCGATTGTTTAACAATACAATTCTTGTTTTCAATTCAATATTTTGTTTTTATAGCGTCTTGTTGAGTTGGAAAACAAACGCTCATTGCGCAACCCATCTAGTGTTTGATTTTCTTTTTCTCCTAAGAGAAATGTGTTATAATTAATCCATACAATGAGATATTTGAAGTGTTTAGAATTTATTAATTCCATATTCTGAATTTTATGATTGATTCATGATCACTTCAAAACTTGTGAATGCAACTTTCAGTATTTATCAATTATTATTATAAAAATATTAGCATCAGTTTTCCTTTTTTATATGTGGTTGTCAAGATGAGATCAGCTTTTTATATCCGTTTTTTTTAATTTATTAAATATCTAGAACTTGATTTTTAAACTGTAAGACATGACTTCTTATATGATCTGAAATACGTAAATATATGTTAATACAAATCTGCTGACCCCCCTACACACACACTTATCGAAACTTTATAAAGCTGTGAAATTAATAGTAGCCACAGGGTGACAATTATACTAAATTTAGTATTTATCATATTATAATTTTCAAAGGTGAAGATCGTTCTAAAAAATAAGAAGAAATTAAATAAATCTACAATCATTTGCTTTGGGAGATTAACATATATATATATAATTAACATAAAATATAGATGCCTCCGTTTTGTTTGCTGGGTTTAATTTTTTTCGAGATGTTTTTTCAAAATTATAATTATATTTTTAATACACATTTTATAAAATCATTTCACCCCAAGCAAGGTGATATCGTGACTAGGACGTAAGAAGATATTGAGTGATAGAGAATATGAGACAAACTACTATTAAAGAGCGAGGACAATAAAAGAATAAGATGTAAGAAGACAGAAGAGAAAGATTAGCAATGCATTGAAATCTTTGACGATCAAAGTTGAATGCGAGGCTAGAAGTCGAAAAAGAGGTCCACGAGCGAGAAGTGCAATAGAAGAAACTGTTAGCAACTGTTGGTAACTTATGGTTACATTTAGCCATTTCAAATGTAAATTGATGAGAAATAGCTATCAGTCAAGATATGATAGGGGAAAGTTATTTAGAATAATTACGATGAAAGTATTTTTAGAAAAGATACAGGGAAGGAACGTTCCGCCAGTAGGAAATTCATTGAAGCCAAGTGACAGGTCAGGACAAGT